AATCAGGGGCTTTTATTTTGAAAATCTAACATTCTACAGAGCACTCATGTCACACCAATTTATAATCTGGGGTCCTTATATTCCATATGTAGTATCCTTTAGAGTGGCATTGTAACGTACTGACAACAGCTTTCCACCACAAGCACATTCCAGTCTGTGCTGGTCTGATTGACAGTGCTGTGGGATGTGTCCTGCTAGGACAGAACAAACTAGCTGACAGTAACAAGGAGCAAAGCTCTGAGCTTTGAATGGCTTTTCTAGCTGAAAGTATGCTGAAGTAGTTGAATGCCGAAAAACATACGGAAGATACAAGAATAATAAAAATATTAATAAAGAACAGGATAACAATAGTGTGGATGCTGATTCAGCATCTACACAAATTGTCAGCCACCATTGAAATGATGTGGCAAACAGAAAAAAATTGTATCAGCATCCACACAATTACATTTTTTTTTCTCTTTGCCACATCACCTTAATGGTGGCTGACAATTTGAAGAAAACTTCCCCAAAACTGTTTTAAACATTGTCTTTGCTAGAGACTTTAATTTGGTTGCAAAAACATTTAAGCTATTTCTATTTTACAGCAAATGAGTAATTCAAATAATGAGTAAGACATGATAAAACATCAAGCAGGAAACACTATTTGCTTGCTTAGAATAATTTGGCCATATTCATGATTTGTTAAAATGAAAGTTTTCAGGATTCCATTCAGTTTATTTTTGCAACAAAACAGAGGTTTTTAAACTGCAAATTAATGTTGTTGTTGTTTTCAATAAAAACGACTTGCTGATGACAGTCACTTTGTATTGCCAACTTGATGTAATTTACTTTTTTGAGCAGTCGACTGGTTCAGTAGAAACAGCAGCCTGTCAGTTTTACTTTTAGGATGTCTTTACAGGACAGCTCTATATTATTATGTTGGCATGACAGGAGTCAGGCTGCAGTATGTGAAGTGTAACAATGAGTTTAATTGATTTTCTAAACCAGGGGTAGAAAAAAGCATAAATCACTGGATTTATACAGGAGTTACAATAAAGTAGCCAGACCCCAAAAACTGAAAATGTGCCACTGCTTGGTGTATCCTGACCAGAGAGAGAGGGGTAAAAATAAGGACAGAAACATATCAAAAACACAACCACAACAACACCAAGAGTTTTGGCTGCTTTTCTCTCAGACTTCTTAGCAGTTACTTTCACTGAACCCTGGAGTGTGACAGCTGCAATATGAGACCTCATGACTCGAGCCTGAGACACAGCCACCACAAATACTCTCAGCGTAAATCCAACACAGGAGAACAAAGATTTGAACTCTCTTTTGAGTGATTTTGGTGGGGTAGTGCAGAGGGTCACAGATAGCCACATAACGGTCAACTGATATGAGAACCATGTTTACTATTGAGACATTGACAATAGAAAAGGCTAAGACATAATACAGAACACACACCAGGTCACCCAGGAACCAGCAGGGTTCTGCTAAGAAGATTTGAAACGGCATCACAAAGAGGCCGACGAGGAAGTCAGTAACAGCCAGAGAGAGGAGGAGGAGGTTGGTGGGGCTGTGGAGCTGCCTGGAGAAAAGAATATCACCACAGAATATATTACTGTATGTGGCAGTCGTGGAAGTCTTAATAATCTGATCTACAGTAATCAGATAATGCACTCTAATATACAGTATGTTCATCAAAGATCTGCACAAGACAACAAGTGCACTCCATGTACCAGTTCTGTATTCAACTGTATGACTGCAGTAGAGGGGAAGTTAACAGCCATTTTAACTTCAACATTCATATCATTAATATTTTCACTGATGGTCAAAGAGAGAGAGTCCTCTTTACTTGTATTACTATGGCTACAGGGAATACTATGCAAATACAGTACATGCATGGTTTCACTAGTAATAAAAGTAACAGTGTATACAGTATGTAAATTGTTTTAATGCTTTCATATCAAAATGTCATTTTCATTAAACACCTTAATATAACATGTCTTGTCCAAAAGCCAACACTTGTAAATTTTTGCTTGGTAATAAGAAAAGTAAAAATAATTTCGGGTTATGCTGATAAGTGCATCTTTTTGCCTGAAGTGGGCGATAGAGATGATGACCAGCAGGTTGAGAGCCACAGTGAGCAAAGAGATGCAGGACAGCAAGATGTAAAGTAATATGGTCTCAGCATGATGCTGCACAGGCTTCCTGCAGGAGGTGTTGAAAAAATGTGGGAAGCAGAATTCTGATCCTTCCAGGGTGTCCATACAAAGAGAGGGAAGCTGTTGAGCTCTGACAGCTTTCCGACCAGAGTTCTCTACCTTAAAGCTGATTTATCTCACTCCTCCCTCTTTTCCCACAGCCCCGTTATATGAGGTAAAAATGAACTACATTATCAGTGACTTTGCAATGAGCTGAATCATGTGGACTGAATTTGTACACTCCTCATCTCAATGAAGTTTTTATTGTTTTAACACAAACTAAAGCAACAATAATTTCTAAATTTAAATTTGATGAACCTGGGAAGCTGTTGAGCTCTGACAGCTTTCCAACCAGAGTTCTCTACCTTAAAGCTGATTTATCTCACTCCTCCCTCTTTTCCCACAGCCTGTTATCTGTAACCAGGTGAACAAAATAGCTGTTATTTTCTGCTGTAGTTGCACATTTTGAACAGTAGATGGCCTTAGTTTTTGGGGGTTATGGAAAAGACCAATGTATGCTGGGAAACACCGGAAGAAAATAAACGCATGGCTTGGGATGGGAATCGATGCATATGTCAATGGTGAGATGTTATTTTAACTTTTATCAGGATGGTTGAGAATAAATTTGTACCATATGCTGGTGGATGAGGTAAGGGATGTCCGATGCATGTTTAGGAAATCCTAAACATGCATCGGTGATTGATTGAGTGATTCATTGAGTGATTCTATTATTTTTATTCTATGTGTTCTTTTTGTTTGTCTAAATCTAGGGTACTCAATAGGCGGACTCCGGTCCGCATC